CGAGCATCAGAATTGCTGGCTTTTCCGCAAGAAAGAATTTGGAAAACTCTGAAGTTAGTATGAAACCCGCGTTGAATTTCAAAATAGTTTCAACCTTTTAAAATTTGATAGTGGTGCTAAATGCAACAAGGGGCGCGTTACAGTCACTAGTGGAGATTAAAGACTTGGCATCCCTTTTATAAATCAAGAAGTGTAGTCAAGAAATTAAAAATGCACTACCCGTCTGGGTACGACCTATAATCATGCGACACAGTCGCATGCCATAGGAGGTTAAATAGCCAGAGATTGGTCCTCATGCATATTCCGACCATGCCTCAAATATATTTTGTATTCGAAATCTTGATAACCTTTGTTAAAGTTTCATTAGCGACTAGTGAATGAAGTGCACCGATTTTTACAACAGACTGATTCCCCAAATCCCTCAGATGTTAATCTAATCATAGTTGACTAGTGTCAAATTCGTTTGTGAATAAGAACAAAGTTTTCCATCGAAGGCAGTCCAACTTAAGTTGCTGATTATCGACTGGCAAAATGAAACCAAAAGCATTATGCATAACACTGCTTGAGTCTCTAGTGAGGTTCTATTTTTAACTTACGTCGACTCAAATGGCGATCCTAAATTACCGACCTCAAGTTCTGAGACAACGCTGTCAGGCGATTGCATCTTTAACTTCTGAGCTTTCGAGGGTTGTTATTAGAGGAGTTTACGAAAATGCTGTTTATTTCAAGAAATTTTGTTTGGTTTCTTGCAAAATGTATTTGTTAATCTTACATTGCTTCTGCTCTTCGTCTCTATTAGAAAATATCTGCAGCGAATATTTTTGAATCCTATAAGCTCCAAATTCCAGCCAATCTTTAAATCACACTTTATAAGGCCCTATCTGGAAGGTCTGTATCCGCACAACGAACAGACCGTTGATCAGCTAAAGATATAAACCGTGACACTCAGAATGCACGTGTTTTACAGTGTTTAGAGGTATCGCGAACTAACAATATGGAAAAATGGACAAAGGACTGATTAGATAAAATGTTTGAGCATAAGCTGGACTATTCGATTTCAAAATTGCCTCCTTTATCACAATATCAACGACACATGTAAACTTTGCTTGCATTATTTGCAATAGACCCGTTAAATTAACTTAGAGCCTCAAATTCCCATGCATACTGCCTGAAAATGCGTTTTTGTTCGTAAGATGCATAAGTATGTGCGAGTTTAAGCGTAAACTGCCTTAAAAACAACAGGCCGTTATCTAGAACTGAATCGGTGACCTATTTGGAATTCACTGTGCACAATCCACTTATCGTGAAAAATAAATCCATGCGCTTTAAAGCAAACCCTACCTCCGCCATTTTGATAGCATATGTACGGGAATCGCCAAATGTTGCCCAGATCCACAGCGAAGCCGATGACGGACAGTAAGAAGTCTAACTTGCTGTCCCACTTCTCGCGTTTTCCATGTGGTAACTGCGCGCCCTTGAGCAGGGTTATGGTCGGGTTCGGACCCCCGTCGTCCGCGGCGGCTGTATCGATTTGCACCACCGAGTCCTGCGTCTCCGATCGAATCTCCTTGCCTTCTGGCGCTGGTCTGGCCAGGCCATCCTGGTCGGGCAAGCTAAATTCGTAACCAAACGGCTCCGCTTCGTCTCCGCGCGGTGGCGGCGGAGACCCCTCAAGCAGCTGGGTGTTGCTGCCTTCTATCTCCTGTACGCAGTTCTGGTTCCCTGTGTTGTCGACACCCAGCTTGACATGGACCCTACTCCTATCGGCTGGCTG